AAATCATGTACAATGTATGACTTGAGTAAAATTATACTCAAACACAGTGATAAGTAGTTTTTCTCATATGTAGCTTTTTTTTTCAAAAATTATCTTTTCCTTTTTTATCTTCCTAGAAAAATTACCTCATTTTTCATTGATCAATAAGTCATTTTTCGTTAACTAATCAGTTTTATGCAAAAAAAAAAAAAAACTGAAAATGAACAAATCATTTTTTAAAAATCATTTTGCCCGAAATAAGCAAAACTTTTATACCGTGCTTGTTGCATGGATCAAATTACAAATCCATTTGTGTTTTCTTTATTGTCTCTCAAGTCACATAACTATACATATAATGGCTGCAACAAATTCTCTGTTACATGGTGCAGCTTTCTTCTAAATTACAACTAAATTCTCACCCAAAATATTAAACCAAAGGTTTCGTCACGTTGATTCTCATGTATTTTTGTGAAAACTACATTATATAGCTGAAGAAGCGGAAATTTCCCCTCAATCATCCATGTTATGTAAGAGAAGAAGGCAGCTCAAGTTGTTTGAGCCAATTCTTACTTTATTGACTTGTATTATGTAAAAGGGCTAAGCCCACAACAGAAAATCGATTTACAGATTATCCCCAGCTTTATTGAGAGAGAGTAGTTGTCCTTTATTGTTATGTGAATGAGCTTGTTGTTACTTATTTGTCACATTATCCCAAGCTTTAACTATTCTTTCTATAAATTTGTAGATGAGTTTATAATTATTTAAAATAAATTGTGTGTATTTTTTTTTGTAATGTTGTGAAAATACTTCAAGATACGAAAATTTTTTTCCTCAATTGAATTTATGAATTTAGGATTTAAGATTTTTTTACAGTGATTGATTAAATTACTTACCAAAAATAAGAATTCGATATTTTTTAAAGCCAAGATGAATATTTAATTAAGAAGTAAGAATATACATCCATTTGTCATAAAGTTATTTTGAAAGCACTACCCTAAAAGGCATAAAGAAATTTTTAATTGAACAGCTTACTTTAATAACAGCCAGAAAATTTACAATTATATACCCTTTTTTAAGCTTAGGTAATTGACAAGCTATTCGGTTCTCTATATATCTTCCCAAAATTGACTGCAAATGAATCATTGGCGATCATATTCTAAAAGAGTATACTTTAAGAAAGATAAGTAGGCGTGGGTTCTAACCCTGCCATCCCCCCTTTTTCCTTGTATGGGCGTTTGCCCTCCTATGAACCAAAAAAAAAAATCTAGTTTAGAATTACAGGGTTGTTAGAAAATTATATCTCAAATATTCATTAATTGGTTTCAAATTTCAAATAAGAAAATTATAAACATTTCAAAATTCTATACTCTCTTAGAAATTGCAGTCCATGCCAATTGCTTGACCAGTATGTTTGCTTTTGTTGCCTGATTGGAGAAAAAAAAAGGGCAAGTGGAAAACTAGAAGCTGATAAAGGCTATTTCTGGGTATAGCTGGAAGACTTCTGGCCGACCCTTTGTTTAAATTAACATGGACTTGGTTTAAATTTGCTCACCCTCAGACAAGAAAGTCTTTCCTTTTCTCTAGGTATTGGTTTTGGTTTCTGTAAGCAAGGTTCTTTCATCATTCTTCTAAGGATTAATTATACTTTTGGTATGCCTAAACTATAATCAAAGATACAAGTTGGCTTTCAAAAAGAAAAAAAAAAAGAGTACAATATATACCATAAACTTTCAAATAATATATTATGTTAATTCAATTCTAATATCAAACGTTAATGTTACTTTAATTCACTTATATGGTATTAGTATAATTGTATAATAAACCTATCACATGTTAAATAAAAAATATTAAACATTTATTGAAAGTTTATGTATATGCGAACGATCTTTGATATTTAACAACTTATCACTCTTGAATAGGATATTTTTCCATCAATTAAAAGAAAACATTGTTTTAACTGAAGTTGAAAAGAATGTCAATAATTTTTTAACACAACATACATAAGTTGGTAATTCAATTGATGTTGTTAGGATTTGGTTTTATAGTGCATCATTTGAAAATATAATGTGGAAATTATACCTTTTTTCAAAGCATCAGTTTGAATATATTATCAAAGTTCAAATGTTAAATTTGTAATTAACCCTTTTCTCAAGAACGATCAAACAAAAAAAAATTTGTTCATAAATAAAATAGTGAAAATTTCAAACTTTAAATGATCAAAATAAAAATTCTCAAAAAAAGTTTAGTAGCTTAAAGTTTAATTTGTCATTTTTTAATTTTTAATTTTTTTAATTTATAATATCATATCAATAATATCATCTAATATATCAAATAATATGATATTTGATAGATGTCTTGATAATGACACGTCTTAGTATTAATGGCCTATTGCAAAAAGTAAAAATTTTATAAATGTTAGTATCAAATTGTAATTTTTTGTAATTAATGCTTTAAATATAAAAAATCATCTAAAAATGGATGTCTAAATGTATAATTTATCCAAAATCCTACTCAAGCCTACTTTCTTTCTTCCTTTTTCTTTGAACAGCTCAACCTATGCTTCATTTAGCAATATTATATGCCTTTGTTACTATTATATATGGCAAATCTAATTCTTTTGACGATTGCCGTCGGTTCCATATAGCTACATATCAATAAAATAGCAGGGCGGCTAGATATGCAATTTTCTAGAGAGAAGTGCAGCACCAGCCTGAGCCTCGGCACTTTCACAAACTCTCGAGGATCAACATTGTGGTATAAGCATCTAATGGCATCTGGGTCTAACTCCATTGTCTGATATGTTTCAGATAGCAAGGTGATAATGGAGTACATTGGAGCCACTGGCGTTCCTGTAAAATTTGATTCTGTTCCAACTGAAGACGTACGGCATTGACTTCCATTTCATACTTAGTTTTGCTATAGATGTTGATCCATCCGGAAATGCTCAGAACAGCAAATTCTCACCATGTTTGGCAGACACATTGACCCCAGAAACCATCGCAGCAATCGAAAAGAGCCACCCCAATGTGAAAGCCTTAGCTAGTCTTTCTGGATTGTAGCCTGCCTAGGGGATAAAGTCCTCCGGTGATACAACCCTGTTGACATCCAGCTATGGATATCTAATGCCTTTTCGTCATTGAAATCAATGGCAGAAGAATATCATCTTGATGGCATTGACATCGACTATTTCCGAAACAAAATTCAATCTTTGCTTATTGCTTAGGTGAACTCATCAGGCTCCTGAAGAACCAAATTGTCATTTCCATGGCCACCATTGCTCCATTTCATACTCCAACTACACCCTACATTGAGCTATTTGAAAACTATGGAGACGTAATTGATTTTGTTAACTACTAGTTCTATACTGATAAGGTTAGGAAACCAATTTAGTACTTGGAAGCTTTCAAGCTCCAAGCTGGACAATTCGACAAGGATAAGCTGTTGCCTAGCTAGCTATGAAATCAATGGAAGGGGAATTCAAGGTGATGCATTTTTTGATGCCTTGAGTCTTTTGGAGGAAAGTGGATTTAATGTTAATGGAGTTATGATCTTCTCAGCCGATGCTTCTTCCTCCAATGACTATTACTATGAGAGGAAATCACAAGATTTCTTGCTAAATTAATCCGCTAGTGTGTGAAAACTTATTATCGAAAGTCGTTTCTAAAGTTTGCGATCTGCTATGATCCTGCAATAGGGAAGCAAACTATTTTGCTTAAAAAAATGTGATGGTGTGATTGATGATTAGTATTATTCACTTGGGCTAACAGTAATTAATTCGAATCCATTTTTATGTTATTTTTGCTTAATTGAAATTTTCTTTTTTTATTCAAAATAGAAACTAACTAAAACTAATTAGAATCCATTTTTGTATGTTATTTTTGTTAGGAAAATGGGGTCCAGTCTCATGTAAGTGATTTTGGATCAACTAAAGGCCATGGGCCTTGATCTTTCATTTTAAACAGAGCCCTAGTTACTTAATAAAAAAAAGATGGGGTTGTTTTAAGTGGGTGTTGAAAATCAAGTAGAAAAAGAAGAAAAGTCAAAAAACCAGAAAGAAAAAGGAGAAGTGAGAGTTGGTTGGACGGAAGTCACTCTGTGATCCGATTGAGTTGAAACCTTGTCAGAAGGTTTATGATTTAGAGTTCTACATTTTGACCGGTGAAGATTAGGTTTGAAGCTCTCTAGGAACAAATTCATGGTGTATTTGTTGAGTCACTTATTTGGTGAGATTTCTCCAATTATTTCTTTAGTTGTTGATTAACTCTAATTTTAGCTAAAGAAGAACTTTGTGTGCCTATTATTTGATAGTAAAGATTTTTTTGGTTGTCTATGATTTTTCTCTCTATACTGAGAGTTTTTTATGTAAATCTTGGTGTGCTTTATTTTTTTTATGTTTTTTATTATTGATTGTTATCTATTGCTTTTGTATTATTATGATTATTGCTTCAGGTCCAACAATTTTTGCTTAATTGAATTTTACTAATATTTTGCTTAATTGAATTGAATTCTCTTTCAAATAGAAGCAAGCTAAAGGCCGCAAAAAGAAAAAAAAAAAAAAAAAAAAAGGCAAATATCTAAAAGTATAGTGTGATTTTACCTCCATATATACAATTGCGAATTTAATTTTATTTGAATTAACCGCTGATTTTTTTTTTTTTTTTTTGGTTATTATTCAATTGCAATTTTTGATAAAAATTAAAAAATAAATAGTAAATTGCATGCAATTAGAACAGTAACTATATATAAACAAAACAATTCTTTTTCTAAAAAAAATGGGTTTTATAACTATAAAAGGCCAAGTTCAAGAAAACTGAAATGAAATTCATTAAACTAACGAACAACAAAACAGCTGACAAAATTCGAAACATTACAAATTGGAATATTGAATTCCAACAGTTGTTTGAAAACTAGCACAATCAACATATATCACAAACATGAAAGGAAAATGAAATCACCAATAAACTACAATATATATCTCAGCAAGAAAGTGATAGATTTAAAGCCTAGCTTGGAAGACCTTTTCACTTCTCCATTTTTTCACTTATAACCCTCTTAATGTCATCAGCAATGGCCTTTGCATCCATTGACACACCAAACAGTCCCCTCCTTGATAATCCACAACAATACAGGTTCTTTTCTCCTTTCCAATGGTGTGGGAAATCAGTTTTAGGCATCCCATTTTCATTGAGAACATATTTAAAATCCTGTGGAAAAATATCATTTTCATATTTTTCAGTCTATTAAACCAAATGGTTTTATAATCTTTTATGTCCAAATGTAAATAATCTGCAATACCAGAGAAGGGAAAAAATTTTGAAAAAGAAAGAGTGAGAGTTTAGAAATTTTTACCTTCAGCCAATTATTAGCTATGCTTCTATAGCCAGTTGCAAAAACTATAGCATCAAACTCTCTCTCACCACCATCCTCAAACAACACCTTCTTCCCGTAAATGCTTGATATGGCTGGAACAACCTATATATCAAGCATGAAAGAAAAAAAAAGAGCATGAGAATATTTAACTTTAATTTAATTTCCAAGTGATATTCCAATATCAAATCCATATCAATAATTAGCAATTGCATTTCTTATTTGGAAGAAAAAAAAACACATACCTTAATTACATGATTTTAGTGTCCTTATTTTAATCATTTGAAGTAATAGGAATAGAATTTGATTCTAGCTTAGTAACAATAATATAATGATAAAGAGACAAAATTCTTTAGCCAATCAAAAAGGTTATCCCATTGATGGAATGGTAAAATTTGAAAATTTCTTGAATAGATTTAAATTTTAAATGCATGTCATGTTGCCGGCTTGTGAGAAATCATACTCAATTAAATGCTTAAGAAAAAAATTATATACTAGTTCATACTATACGACTACAATTAGATAAAGTGTTTAATTAAAGAGATCCGATCCTATAAATTGGCAGTAAAATTTAAAAATTATATAAGCGGATTGATCAAATAAAAACTTTCGACATGTTTAAATTTTAACTACAGTGAATAGGGCAATAATACGTAATTGAATGGTTATGATTGGGAAAAGGATCTAGTAAATCAAATTAAGTATATTGTTTATAATCATCTTCTGATCAGGAATTAGGCAAAACACGATATTATTGGAATTAATTGGAACGGAACTTGAATTAATTGACCTTTATCTCTTTAGACTTGATCTTGTGGACGGTTCCAACATCAATTACAGGAGCTCTTCCCGTGGTTTCTTTGAGAAAGAAAGGACCTTTCTTTGGCCGACGGATTCCATACTTGGATAGATCGCCATATACCATTTTTGACATCAGTACGATCAAGAAATCCACCACAAAAAGTGGGATGTACTTGTAGAATATCATCCCTAGTCGCACCATTTCTTTGCTTACCACATGAAACTGCAAATTGAGAAGAGCCAAATTTTGAGATATGTCATCAAATAAAATTAATTAGATGTCCTATGAGGAATCATTGAACCAACATATTTTATAACCTTTGAGGAAAAAATTAAAGAACAAAATAATAAGAAATTAAATTTGCATGTCTCAATGTCCATTTTTGCATGCAAGAGATCAGAGGAATGGGGTCTTACAGGATTTCTGATAACAATCGAAGTATGAGCTCCAAAATTTGAGAGGTCATAAGATATCTCCATACCCGAATTACCGCATCCAACAACCAAAACATCCATGTTTTCATATTTTGCACCGGATTTATACTCATTGGAATGGATGATTTCCCCCTTAAAGGTACCTAACCCTGGCAGCTCTGGAATGTACTTGGCGCTGTTTTCGCCTGAAGCAATCACCAAAAACTCAGCAACATAAACTTCCACATCCCCTGATTGCATGTTCTTGGCGTCGATTCGCCATTTCCCATCAACTTCATCATACCAAGCCGATTCAACAGATCGATGATATTGAGGTTGGATGTTGAATGTTGAGACATATTCATCCAGATAGTTGACAAACATGTCTTTTGGTATGTAGGTAGGGCTATCTGGTGAGAGGGGCTTGAAGGGAAGGGAGCAAAATTCTTTGGCTAAATGGAGTTTCAAGCGATCATAAGCTCTTTTCTTCCAAAGAGAAGCATAAATATCCTCCTTTTCAAGGATGACATGGGGAATGGAATGAGCTGATAAGCATGCAGCAGTTGCAAGGCCAGAAGGCCCTGCTCCAACAATCACTACAACCTTCTGCATCTTCTGTGATCTTCGATATTTCTAGGGAACTTTCGTATGGTGAAATGACACTTCAAATTTCTGCTGTTTGTTAAATGAAGTGAACAGTGAAAGACAATTTATATTGAAATATAGGCTTTTGTATTTAATGGTGATGACACAAAATCTACGTTTCTTTTCCCTGGATTCTCAGTATTAATTGATTTCCATTATTGCAGATGCTGTTCAGTTCTTTTTTCAATCCTACGCCTCATGTATAAGTCATGCGCCTCTACTGGAAGAAATTTGCAAGTTTTCTTACCATAGGGGGGGAAGTAATTAATGATATAAATATATATAGGGCTGTAAATGATTAGATGGAAAATTGTATGTGAATATATTTATTTATATATTATTAAATATATTTATTTAATATTCACAAATAAGTTTATTTGATTCCAAATTGATCTCCAATGTTTTAATATCTAAATGAATTAAGCTTGAATATAATACAAAAATTCTTTAATGAACTCGAACTGATATCAAACAACCCTAGAAATAAATGAAAAGATCACAAATATAATAAAATATGCTCATGTTTAATTCATTTACACCCCTATATATTGATGTTTTTGAATTAAAATCCTACTTTTAACTTGATAAAAATGAGACTAGTAAGAAAAAGAAAAAGAAATAGATAACATATCAATACAGTTTTTTTTTTCCTAGCAAACCATATAAATTTATTTAAACTTAACATTCTTAGGCTAACAATAGGGTAGAAGAGTTTTATTAGCAAAAAATATGAAAAAAAAAATCATAATTTTGATGATTATTGGAAGTTTAAAAGGTTCCTTTCAAAGATTTAAATTATAGTCGTGGTCACATTTTTGATCGCATAACGTTTATCACAATTGCAGACATAATGAAAATTATTATAGTCATTACGGTCACTACGATCGTAATTTTTTTAAAAAAAAATTTGTACAACTTAATACAAAATGTAATAATTATAATTATAATTATAAAAACTTTTATTTTATGATTTTTAAAGTAGTTTATGATCTTTTATTTACTTAGAAAAAAAGTATTCATAATTTTGTTAAGATTATACAAAGTATTTATATTTGGTTGAACTATAAATCTTTACTTAAGAAAAGTTCATATTTAATATTAATTTTAAACAAACTAAATATATATTAATAAAATAAAACATGTTAAATAGCAAGTATTCATCTATAATAATATTACAAACTTAAAAAAATATAATTTTAATAAATTATAAAATGTTCAATTTATTAAGTAATTTATTTTTTAGCATATTAATTGATTTAATATTTTTATCATAAATTACTTTTAATTTATTCTATAATAAACAATATTTTAAATTATTATTTTATTACACAAAAAAAAATTAATCTACTACTAAAAAAATTAACAAAAAAAAAAAAACCATTACTAAAATTTAAATACAAAGTCATAAGTTAATAAATTTTCCTCTAAATAAAAAAATCCTTATTAACCAATAAAGTTTTTAAAAAATACTCTAAACAAAAATTTCCTCTAAATTAAAAGAAAAAAAAATAGTTAAATCCTCCAGCCCTTTACCCTGCGTCATCATCGATCACTCTTCTCTCATTATTTCCCTTTAACTTTCCCCCAATCCCCATCCCGATTTCCCTCACCTTTTCCCCCAGGCGACAACCTCTCATCCCGATTCACACAAACACCAAATCCCAAATCCCAATTTCAAAATTCTTACACACCCATAATCCCAATTCTCACTCATAGTCCCTCTATTTGCCTCTCATCACTCGTCTCTCAAAAGCCTCAATCTCGCACACAGAGCGACTTTCACTAGCCTTCAATAATTTAGAGTCCAGTTTCATTCAACAAAAAATCACAGCAAGTAATAAATTGCTTGTGCTTGTTGTTTTATCGGGATGAATTTATGGGTTTGAAGACTCCATCAGCCTAGGGTTATTTTCTATTTGAAGATTTTAACCTTTTTTCTTTTTTTTTTGCTTTTTACATAAAATGTTTGAACCAAAAATAGAGCAGCAGTTGATAGCGGGCCGATATTGCTGCTATTCACATATTTACCATTTTTGGCGGCTGTTATCTACCGCTACTATCATTATTCAAATGCTTGTTCGCTTTGTCGTTAATAGCGTGGCGCATGGCAACATTATCGCGAAATAACGGCTGCTACATCACTACTTCACTGTTATTTGAATCGCTGGTCCCTTTGATGCTATGGAGTGCAGTGGGAAGGGAAAGAGATAGGAAATAGAATCAAAGTTCCGAAAGTGAGAAGTGGTAAGTAGTTACTTGAGGTCCTAGGAATAGAAGAGTGATAAGTGCGAATGTGTGGAATCAATTTGGGGAAGTTGAAAGTACAAACTAGGAGTAACAGGATTTAAATTGATAGATTGAAAAATCTTTTTAAATAAATTAAATATGTAATTTGACATATTTTAAAAAAATTTGTATATTTTTTAGATAAGCATGTTTACTAAAAATTTTGACAAATTTTTATACTAATGAAATTTAAATTATAAATGGCATTTTCAAAAAAAAATTTGCTTATTTTTTATCTTTTCTTGAATTTTATCAATTTACTTGTTTAAATTTTTTATTAATATTTTTGTTAAATTATTTTTAACAGGAAATTTTACAATTTCACTTAAAAATTTTCATTTGTCTTGTTCTGCAAAAATAAGAATTTGTTTGTTGCCAAAAATAGTTCTCAAAATCTTATATATGGATTAGACGTGTAAATAATGCAACTAAAGAGAAAACGTTAATAAATTGCTCTTCTTAATTTAAAATGATTTATGATAGAAAAGCATTCTAACGAAGTATATATAAGAGCTACCTAGTTTTCTACAAATATTATATGATGAAATTTACCTACAACTTTTTCTAAGGTTAATAAATATTTCAACATGGTTATACGTGCATTGCATAATTCATGCGAAGATATAATTAAATGATATTTTCAATAATATTATTATGTATTATTGACTTTTTTATTGATTTAAATTTTTTATTAATTTTTTTTTAAGTAAAAAAAAAATGTATAATTTTCACCTATATAACATCATCTAAATAGAAATTGATTTGTTGCCAAAAATAATTTTTTAAATTATATATATGAATTAGACGTATAATGCAACTAAAAAAGAAAATGTCAGCTGATCACTCTTAATTTAAAATGATTACAATAGTTTACGGTAGGAAAAGTGTTCTAACAAAGTTTATATCAAAGTTATCAAGTTTTTCAACGAATATATATATATATATATATATATATTATAGTAAACTTTACCTAAAAATCCCACAACTTGTTCTAGAATTAACAAATACTCCAATATGGTTATATGTTCAATGCATAATTTATACAAGATATGCTTAGGAGCGAAAGTAATTTAATAAATGTTTAATCGTCCAAAAATCATCATATACAATAAGTACATTTTATTCTTTTATAGTTTCGTGAAACATTTAATAATTATATATTAAGCTATTAGCAAAAGAATTAATTTTCTCTTAAAAAATTTTAAGTACAAAAAATTTAGATATAAAAAATTTAATTTTTAACAGCATTTTTTTTCTATCATTTAACAGCTTTTATAAAGTCCGTGGCTATTCACTAATTTTCATGTTAGAGTTATGGGGTTCAAATCTTAATTTGTCAAATTGGATAGAAGGCAACTGTATAATTGACCATGACCAATTTCTTTTCGAGTACATAAAATTTTAGATTATTAAAATAATAAAGCAAAAGATGTTAATTTTTTTTACTTGATAGTTCATACACGTTGTATTCCTGATTACTCTGCTATTCGTGATATATAGAAACAATTAGTCAACTTACAGCTGTTTATCGTTTTCCAACTTTCCAAAATATTACACAATTAAGATTTTCCTAGTGATATGTACTGGCACCACTAAATGGGATACATTTGTAATTTCATTTTTCTTTTTTTTTTTTTGCTTGATGCATGAATACTTACATTATAAATTAATTATATTAATATATAAATAAATACTATTAAATGAAACTCTAATAATGGTATACATATATATAATATATAAAAGGTAAAGAAAAAGAGGGAAATTAATTAAGATGAAAAATGTCAATCATTGTGTGAGCCTAAACAATTTTGTACACTTCCATGAGAATATATAGAAATTAAGTTGACCTGTGGGGACATAATCAATAATAAATACAAAATTTGGTATGATTTTGATGAATGCTCCATATTTGGGTATTTTACTACATTGTAATTAATTTTCAAATCACATTATTCCAGTTTTTTCTAGCACTGGAGTAATTTAAAATCTTTATTCTTTAATAGATGTAGTTTTAAACTTGTTTACCTTGATGAGGTATTTTAAATCAGATTAATGCCATATCAGCATTCATCTTTGTTTTTCTTTCTTTATTTTAGCACAAAGGAAACCAAATACTTGAAAAAAAAAAAAAAAAAAAAAAAAAAAAAAAAAAAAAAAACTGCTCTTTTCTTTAAGCAAAAGCATTTTTTTAAGATCTAACATTATTTGAAATTTGTTTAAACCAGTAAAAATATCTTCATGAGTTAGCACTACCCATCAAAGAAAATCGTCAATCAGTTGACAAACTTGACAAAAACAAAAAAAACAAATGTTTTGTAGTTCAAAAATAAGCTTTTTCCTCTCTTTGTGCTCTTGATGAAGAATTTGCTTGAATTTTTTACTTGAACTTTGATCCAGCTTTGAAGGGCAATATTGAATTTTTTAAGTGACCAAAGTTCTTCTAAGCATCTTCTATTTCATTTCTTTCGTGAATGTTAAAAACGTACGTGGAGCATTGATGCTTTCTTGTGGACATGAAAAAATAAATAAAAAAAATAAAAAACACACAACACGAAATGGAGGTCCACATAGGGAAAAAGGAAACATGCTTTTCGAATTCCATCTTCCTCACTCTCTTCAAAACAATTTTCTAGCAGCTTTTTTTTTTTTTTTTTTGTTCTCTAAGAAAACGAAAGAAAAAG